ATCCTCCCAAACTCTGGAAACATGGGATCATTGGCAGAATATCCAAAACAGGAGACCTCACTGTAGCCTCGGCCCCTCATTTTTACAAGTAACTCTAGGCTCCTGAAAGATATATATGTCAAAGCCTAAAGGCATTTTCAAAGAGCCCTTTTTTTTAACTTCTGTTTTTGCAGAGGCAGTCACCTTCAAATAACCCTTTAAGACTGTGAAACAATATAAGAATAACCTTTTATCACAAAGACTACTGTTAACTATAGGGTTAACAGACTTTTAGACCACAGTATATTAAAAATAGCTGTATGATACCAGTGGAGCTTGAGTCAGCCTTGAGTAGTAAAACAAGCAGGAGATATCTGGGCCTAACCGCAACAAGGAAGAGAAGGGAAAACATATATAGAAGAAATTATAATGCCACGGTTAAGATTGATCATAGACTAATATGATGGCTGAAGCAGCAGAAGTTAAGGTCATGTTAAGGATCACGTGGAGGTCTAGGCTGGACACCAAACAAGGAAATAGCTGTATGTGAAATAGAACAAATCTAGATGCAGGTTATTTGATCTGCAGATAACCTGCATGTGATTGTTATAAGCTTCCTAATTTGGTGACTATGCATAAGGGCAGGTGGGCAAGGGGGAAAAAGAGGAAATAAAAGGAGGCACCTGGAAGACATGGAGAGATTGGACGTGAACAGGGATCAACAGCTGAAGAGGTGGTAGACTGTGATTGGAGAGCAGCAAGCAAAGGAACCGTGAGGTATAAAAGAAGAGGTTACATGAAAAGTAACTTGGGTACACGACACCGAAGACACCACCATGCAGGTGTGCAAAAATCCCCTTGCTTGGCAGCTTAGCTGGCCAGTGACATTGCCGAGCAAGACTACTCATCCTCTATGCAATGTATCTGATCATTTTATTTTTGCTTTATTTAATCTATCAATAAATCTGTTTCCTGTATGACTGGAATGGTCTGAGGTCTCATTTATTGTTGCTGCCCCAGCCCCCTCAAATCTACCTGCAGTTCAGGTGCAATACAACTAACTGGGACATCTGAAGAAAGCACAGCGTGGCAGTGTACTACTATACTGGATGAGATAAGCAGTGGAATATCAAGCTAAGAAAAGACTGGATTTAAGCCTAAGAAATCCTATGTAGACCAGAGAGTCAAACTATTGGCCTTCAGAGAAGAATCATGTATTGTCAGACTTCTCTCATTAGTTTCTTTGCCTCTGAAAAGGCCCATGACAGATGTGCGGAGACACACGGCATGACATATTGTAGATCATCCTTCATTCCTATGGACTTCCAGCAGCAGCAGGGCCATGCACAGAAATGTAAAGTGCTATGTAAGGAGGAGCAACGAACTATGTAGTGGTTCCACATGGACGGTGGCATGAAACGTGCCTGCATTTGCTTTCCATGGTTGCTTGGCATTGCCATACATTTGATAACAAGGAAGTGTGGTGATACAGTGGTTAGGTATCAAATGCCTAGACGACCTAGATTTTACTGATGACTTTACACTACTGAGAGATGCCTCCAAAAACATAAAACGAAAAAGGCAGATATTTTGGCCAAAATGGGGGGCTCATAAATCCACGCAACAATGTTACATCAGAAGGTAAAAACATTAGGAAAGTTGAACAATTCATTTCACCAACCAGCACTACCCAAGAGAGACTTGCACGAAGCAAGTTTATGTCAAGCGTCGGCAAGGTATCCACAACATCCATTAAACCGAATGGATGGAAATCCAAGACATAACTAGGAACCAGAGCCAGAACCAGAACTAACTGAGCATTTTTAGCTCGGACAATCTCACCGCTAAAATATGGTTGTGAGAGCTGGAGATCTATCTAGGAAGCCAAACACTTATGTAAAAAGCATTGCATAAGAGTGGATGGAAGGGTTTAATTGCCAACAAAGAGACATGAGAAAGCATCAGCCAGCGGCCTGAAGAAGGACTGTGGCAGGGGTGTGAAGCAGACACCAGTGAAACCACAGAGCAGCAGCAAATGAAGGAAAAGGCAGAGACTAATTCCAGGCCATGCACCAGTGCTGGCACAGGAAGGAGAGATGGATGAACGGGCAGAGACAGTTCAACGCATTAACAGATTAAAACACATCTCTAGACTCATATTTGTGCAGGAATTACGACCCCCACCTATGACTTAACTGCATCTGCGCTATGCTGTCCTTTCACAGCAGCTGTTGAGGTGAACTTGGGTTCATGAAGGTTTGTGCTCTCGTTATGGATCTTATTAAGTCTATAAAGGTGTATGTCTACCCTGCCTTGTGATTAACTGGTAATGGCTAATCAGAAGGCATTTTTATTAACTTTAAAAAGAATATGTAACAAATAGAACTGCTGTACCGTAAATCCAAAAATGGATGAATGGTGGCAATTTCTTGCATCTGGTGTTGGACTTTGTCAGCGTCCCATGGAGCGGGGGTATATGCTCAGGACCGCTGCGGCCGTGTCTGGGAGTGCCTCCCAAAAGCCAACCCAGGCATGGTTTATGGACTAGAGGGGGAGCTCTGGCTCCTTCCTGCTCTGCGACCCTGGCCTTTTGGTCCTCAACCCTCCTTGGTTGCTCTGCGGCCCTGACTCAAGGAGACAGCTTCCATTTCAGCTCTTGAGAGAAGAATTTGATCTCTTTTGGGGAAGTTTCAAGCAGCAAAACAATAAATAAAGGCATTTGCTGGGGCAAAGGCCAGCCTGCTTGTCCATCCCTCCATATCCATTGTCATAGTTATCTCCCCCTGGATATCTCCTGGGTATTACCTGCAATCTCCGTCTTTGATGAAATGTCATCACAGCTATTCAAGTCTCTGTAGACGGATGCATCTTCTCTCACGTAGGCCACACACGCAAGCTGCATTGTCTCTGCAACCCATTTGTTCCTCCCTGCGTAGGTTAGCTGGGGGGAAGACTGAGGCGTATGCTACATCATGACAATATGAACAGAGTCAACACAGAAATATTGCAATAAACACCATAGTCCATCACAGACCGAAATCCTGCCAATGGTAATTATCTGCTAGTCTCTCAGCTTCTCTCTAGACAAGAAACCGATGTGTTTTAAAATCAAATTACTTAAATGGATGGAAATACCACTTAGCTACAAGTTTAATGGTTTTTAAAATCATATTAGCCGGTCATGCGGCATAGTAGCCTCATCCCTCAGTCCACCTAACCTGATTTTAAATTGGATGAAATGTATGTCTCAGTGGTACTTCAACCCTGCTAGCTAATTTGATTTTAAAGCACACTTTCTTTCCCCTGAGTTTAAAAAGGCCCCACAGAGGCATTACATATTTCTGATCTAATTGATCGATTGGAGATTGCTTTTTCATTTTGCTAAATGCAGTTTTGAGCAGGCAACTCCTGCCCAAACTCAAGCTTGCTGGAAATTTTAAAGTAGTGCAGATTTGAGCTCAGGTGTGGTGCATTAAATACTGCTCCTTTGGGAAGACAGGCTCCAGAGAGAGAGAAGGAGGGGAAGGAATAGGGCAAAATTCCTTGGATTCAAATCAACTCTAAACACAGTGGGTTGTAAGCAGGGAATCGTCCCCAGAAGCATTCATTAAGCACTGGCAAGGCAAGCTTGTTTAGCTTTGGCATTTCATTGAGATAAAGAGGGTGGCAGCGGTAGGTTAGGCGCATAGATAACATGCTGGTTTTGTACTAGGAAGAGTAAACATCGTGGGCCTGATTCTCACCGTGTGCCTGTGTAAATCAGAAGTACGTCTGCTGATATCAGCACACATTTCCCGTTCACCCTAAGGAGGAAATGCCCAGACCTGAATATCATGGAAATGATTTGTCTATTTGGTAAAAGATCATTGAAGGATGATAAAACATATAGCATGTAAAGTTTCTTTTAGGCCAGGGCTTGCTACATCATGCCCCTTCCCCGCTGTCAATCATTATCCAACAGGTTTATGGTTCAGAAGGTGGAGCTGTCAGGCAATAAAAATAGGAGGTCAGAAGAGGAAGTGTTCTAGTATTTATCCCATTGTCAGGGATGATTCAGATAATTCAGCTGTACGTTTTGTGATCTTTCACCATGCAACTTATTTATTCCACTCTCCTAAAGGGAGCCCCCTTTCTCTGCCCCACCCCCTTACCCTGTTCATATAACACACACTGCCTTTAGCAACACCTGCTTGCTATAGTGCTGGCTGTGTCGTGCATGTGTCTGCCTTCTCCAGGAGAATGGGCACTTACATCTCTAAAGCTGACACTTCTGTTGCATTGCTCTACTTGAGTGTGACGGCAGTTTTTGGAGGAACAGTTTTTTACAAAGCCAGGAAGAAGAAGATGGAGAAAGCAAATACATTTGTCTGTGGTCTCCTGCTACTCTCATTGGAAATTCTCTGTTTTGCTATGCTGAGAAGTTATGCAGGCTTGCTCCTGTTCTCTGGGGCATGTCTCATCTCTTATATTTGCTTACCTGTGCGATCCATGTTACCTGTGGACAACAAAGCTGTGCTGATCACAGGTAAGGGGGAATGGGCAAAGTTTGGGAAGTACAAACTGGCACTTCTGTCTGACAGATAAGCTGTGAAAGTTCCTATTGTCAGCTCTTCATCACCTGTGCAGTGCCAGTATTTGGGCAGGTGTGTGGTTTTTGTTTTCTTTTGCAAACTCACACATCTTTTAGCTGCTTTCATTCCTTTTCTCAGATTTTTTTTTCCAGGTTATAAAATGTTCTGCAGTCATTTAGGAAAACATCCTTTGTGCTATTTCTTTTAGTGCTTTATATTTTGAAAATAAATTATACAAATAGTTTTCTGTGCTACATTGAAAAATTACTTCTGGTCTCATCTGGTTTCACTAGTGTTTACTGTTGAAATATGTAGATTAATAACCCTGACTTTAATAATTTAAAACTGAGCTTTCAAGTGGCAGGCATATTATATTATTGCAACATTTTCAATACATTGTAGGTCAAAACATAACTAACTCTTTAATTACACATTTAAGCTGTACATGGTTTCAAAAAGTAGACACTAGATTGATACAATATAGTAAAATATAGACATATGCTATATGCATTATCTATTAACATTATTCATAGATGTTCTTAACTAACACAGGTTAAATGCAACGATACTAAAGAGTTTTGTTAGTTTATAAAAGAAACTATGACCTGGTTTCTCTCTCCTGTTTTTTGTGAAATGTATTTTTTTAGCACATTTTTAGTGTAAGCCATCCCGGGCATTGCTAATCTTAGCTTATTTTTTCATCCAGAACGTTGGATTGAATTGTTTGGAGTTGTCCATGTAGCTTATCGCTCTGAGAGTTTATACAGAGTGTGGAGTAGTCATTTTAATTTGGATTGACAGATGTCCACACTAGGGCTTCAAAGAAAAAGTTAAGTGATAGCGTCTGCAGCAAGTTTGCCTCCCCCATTTTAGCAGCTCAGCTAAGTTCTGCCCGCTGCATCCAGTCCTTGTTTGTCTGCTCTGATGTACCAAATGAGGATGGATGTAAGCCAAGGGTAGCTAGAAAATGCATGCCTGCGGCAGAAGGCAGAAACTCGAATCTGATCAGGCAAAGCAACAGCCCGTGCTTGCACTGAGACAAGTCTCTTGGGAGTTGTTGTTTTTCTTTTCTGAAACTACCTTTTGCAAGATGCTGGAAGGTAATGTATCTTTAACAGCCAGCTTTCAGTGTCCCAGGAATCAGCTGTGCTTCACTCCCTTTAGGTGCTCCCATGCCAGTGCTTGATTGTCTTTACCCATAACTGGCTCAACCAGGATCTGCCCCACCTGTTGCCCCAGCTCCTCTCTGCTAATTTGAATCACTTGTGTGATGATGCGGGGTCTCTTGCCACTCAGTTTTTAGCCTGTCTGTCTAGTGCAGGCAAGGCCTGAGGCAGAGACTCAATTACCATTGTATTTCTTTTCCCTTTCTAAAACCACTGAGGAAAGTGGCTGGGTGCTGCTGGGTTTCCATGGAGGATGATGTTGGCTATGCACACCTTGTCTTTCAGTTTTTATAAAATGCTTTGCTGTTCCTTTTGGGATGGATGATGACCTTAATGGCAGCACACACTTCCTTATGATTAGTTTAGCACAGCAATAGCTGTGAATGCTCCAGTATGTATGTGAAGGATACTGTCTTTAGCACGGTCATGCAACCACTTTCTCATGCGAGTAACTGCAGTCATATGAATGGCTCCAATTGATCCACATCTCTATTGCTCTGGCTGCAGGATGGGGCCCTTTTGCTGTATTTAAATCGAAAGTCCTATGTGCACAGAGGATTGTATCACTTTCCTTTTTTTGCCCCCATTATTTTGCCACTGGAGAAACTTTTCTATAGATTCAAAGACCCACATGGTCTGAAGTGAGTGGTAAAAATACTTAAACTGGGGGAAAGCTCTAAAACAGCAAAAGAAGAGAAGAGTTTTGTATTCTGGCATCTGGCCTTCCTTTCAGCATCAGAATTTCTGATGATAAGTAGGAGTTAATGATGCCAGTAGTGGGATTAGTGGTACATTTTCCATCTCTTGATGTACTGAAGACTGTCTTGGATGCCTTTGCGGAAAATCTGTTTTTGTCAAACACGAGTTTTAGGGCTTGCTAGAGGCACAACTGGAACAAACGCTGTGCTCTGGTAGGCAGCTAGCTCAGATGATCTAATGATCCCTTCTGGCCTTCACATCTATGGAGCAAGGGGCAAAACTTCTTTTGAGGTCAGAGGCCTGGATGTAGGTGAAAGGAATGGTTTATTTCCCCCGCATTGTTACAATCTCTGTCCATCTTTCCTTTGCACGCTACCTTTTCTTTCCTTCAAGGTATGTAGTAAAGGTCAGCTAATAATTAAGATAAGCATAGAGCCATGCACTGCATGTTTATACTTGCACAACAGGCTGGATAGGGTGAGAGGGGATGTGAAAAATGGCACAAAGATGAGGTTTTACCCTCCCCCCACAAAAAAATCCCTGTTTGCCCAAAAGCTTGCAATTAAAGACCCAGTGAAGGGTGTTTGTGCCCAAAAGCTGGCAATTAAAGAATTGCCTTTTCCTCTAGACCAATGCGGCTACAACCTGGATACCCGTTTGACATTTGCAGAGTTCGTTTCCTTTGGGAATCCCAAGAATGCGTGTGCGTGTTGTGGGGCAGGGGTGAGGGAGGGAGACTGTTTGTCTAAGAGATATGGAAATCAGGTGTTACCTGAAGAGCTCTGATGCATCTTCAGCAAACTAGGGATTTCAGAGGCCAAAAAGCATTTTGCAAAGGGCTAATTCAGCAGGGGATGTTACCTTCTCGGAGCAGTTGACAGCAGGATTCAGTACATACTCCCAGTTTATTTCAGCTTGCAATTCACTTCTTTTTCATCCTGAAGGAACACTGCCTAATATAAAGTACCTTGGAGTCATAAAACTAAAAACATACATGTTGAATTATGTTGCTCTGCAGGAACTGTCTTGGGGTCTTTGCTATTGTGGAGATGTTAGGATCATGGCCATTGATAATAATGATGCACTTGCCATTTATATACCACTTGACATAGATGAATTTCCTCAAGCCTCCAGTGAGGTTGATAAGCAAGGAACACTATTTCCATTTTACAACCGAGGAAACCGAGGCAGAGGAGTTAAGTGATTTCTCCAAGGCCACCGTATGGATTGATGCCAGGACCAAAACTAGGGAATTTTCTAGTTCCTTGGACTGTCTTTAGATTTCTAGATCATACTGCATGCTGTTTTAGAAGCCTGTTATCTAATAGATTTCCATTACAGGCAACAGCCTGGCATAACCCATTGATTTCAAAGTACATCATTTCTTTGGAGCAGATACAGCGAGCACAAATAGCGCAGATTTATAATGTGAAACATCCATGGTCACTTCTCAGGCTGAGCTTGCCATTCAGCATGCAAAGGCTGACTTTCAACCCGTTTAGTACATGTCCTACCAGCACAGCCTATTTGGCCTCGCTTCCTTCTCCGGGTTCTTGTCCTTAAGGTAGTGTTTAACAAGGGAGGAAACGTCTTAGTTTCTCTTTGGCACCAAATTGCTGCTTCTCTTCCTTCCAAAGTCAGTGGAAGTTACTTCAAACACTTTTTCCTTGTTGCCTACTGCAATGCTCAAGTCCAAGAGGTGATGGAATATGAGAGAGAAGGAAGGGTGGGAGTGGTGAACCCATTCGTGTTTTCTCCAATAAAGTATTTCTTGTCTTATGAATGAGCGGGACTGCACAGCTATAACAACAAACGGACATTAAGGAAGCTGTATTTTGCCTAATGTGTCTTTCCAATTCTGGTGCTTTCAGGAAGCGATTCTGGGATTGGACACGCATTGGCGAAGCACCTGGATAATTTAGGTTTTGTTGTGTTTGCTGGGGTTTTGAACAAAGAAGGACCCGGGGCTGAAGCATTAAAAAGGAGCTGTTCCCAGAGACTTTCTGTCCTGCAGCTGGATATAACCAATCCCACACAAATAAGGGAAGCTTATCTTGCAGTTTCAGAGAAGGTACAAAATGCAGGTATGGTTTCTGTGCCGTTTTCTGCAGGTGGTGCATAGGCATCTGTTTGCAAGGTGCATCCATTGTCTTGGTTGCAGTGTGGTCTGCATGGGATGTGTTACATATTTCCCTTTCTAAGCCTCTGAGCCATCAGGGCCTGCCTATAATAACATAGCTCCCCGGCTTTGTTTTGGGTGGGCCATCCAAACCAAATTTGGGATATACAGTCTATACATATTTAAAACAATCCTGTGTCCCCCTTGTAACAGAGCAATTTACTTACCTTGTTTAATGATGGGCATTTCCTTGTCTTCTTCAGGATTATGGGGCATTATTAACAATGCTGGGGTCCTGGGGTTTGCTGCAGACGGTGAACTGCTTCCCATGAGCGCCTACAGGCAGTGTATGGATGTGAATTTCTTTGGGGCTGTAGAGGTATCCAAAATGTTCCTACCTCTACTTCGGAAATCCCAAGGGAGGCTCGTTAATATGTCCAGCATGGCAGGGGAGTTGAACTAAAGGTGCAGATTAATTCCATTTATGGTGCAGTGCAAATGATGAATAATGACTTGGACCAGGTTTTGGTCAATATATTGCTTAGCAAAATAATCCTCTGAAATCAATATTTGCTCACTATATCATTATCTCCTGTAATGAACTGTCTCTTTTGTTCAGGTGACTGCCTATGGTAGCTAGTCATTAAAGAGTTCAATAAAGATCACTTCTCTAGAAAGCTCTTGTTTTTCTCTCTTGTCCCAAGAGAGACTCGTACCAAAATGTAATGTGCTCAGGTCCAGAGTTGCAGATCTGAACCTGATAGTTTCCCCAAGAGACTTAAGTTTTCAAATGGATTGCTAAAACGTGTGCCAGCAGAATCGGAAACAGCTCCTGCTGTGTGTGCAGATCCTGTATTTGTGCATAGAGTTGCCTGTGTTGTCCTTTCATGCACGTGTTTGAAACGGCAGCTTTGCATCAGCGGTGGTTATGACTCAGGCCTCTATAACTCTAGGGTAATAATGGAGTGTGAATGACTTTCAGATGAGTGTGAGAGATCTGTCCAAGAAAATCAAAGGAGAGGATGTTTGGTTAACACTTTTGCTTTTTCTGCTCTAAAGTTATGTTGCAAGTGTTATCTACCTCTAGTAAACTTGTTAGGTAAGTATTTAAGCTGCTGTGGTGTAACCCTTCTTTCCTAGGACTTAGAACAGATTGTGCAAAGTATAGCGATAAAACATTTACATCTTCATTGGTAGGACACCTTCTACCCTTCCTAGGGAATGGATGCCCGTTTCAGTCTGTACACTTTTCTGCAGTGCTTTCCAGAAAGCCTGCCCTGCCTTCTGGCACAATGAACAGAGGAAGAAAGACAGTGCCATTAAAGTAGTCTAAACTCGCATGTGAAATAGGCCTTTACGTCATACCTTGAGTCAGCGTAGCCAGCTGGAAGAGTCACTAAAGATGGAACCAAAGTTTGGAAATGTCGACTGTCCGTGTGATTTCAGCTGTTTGGATGTAGACTGGCCCCTGTGCTCCAGAGCAGGCCAAGCAGAGGCATGATGCATTTTATGATCTTTGTTTTTCCTTACAGCTTTGCAGGAGACAAATACTTTGATTCACAGTTATGAAAAATTAAAAAAGCACCAGCAATGAGAGAGAGAAATTCTGAATACAGCTAAACAAAGTATTTTACTTCCCAACACCTTAAGTTCACAGTTTTGTGTCTCTTCTGTGATGAAAAAAAGACAGAGTTTGGAGTCTAGAACTCTGCCCACGGACGGGAAAGGAAACTTAATTTTCAGCAGTCTTGATGTCAGACTAAAAATGGACGCTTTGTTTGTGCACGTTCTGGACATATATTCTGCCGAATCTGAATTTAAGCTTCTAAGTCCACTTGCATGATAGATGGAGCTAATAGTCACCTTTAGTTTAAACTGCAAACTGTTTCAAGAATCTTGGCTTTAATATTTTTGTCTCTTTATGCAGAATGGGCGATTAAAATATATCGCGTCCTCAACTGTTGTTTAAAAAGAAGGAGGAAAAAAGTGTCCTGTGGTAAAGTTATCTGCTACAGGTCCCCCCTAACTCATGCGTGCAGCTGTACTCCAATAGTCATGTTGAGACAAACATTACCCTGCCTAGCTTGAGCAACTGCTGTTGGCTTTTGCATTTTGTATGCATACATTTGGAAACTGGGTGACAAAGGTGATATATATGTAAATGCTGAGGTACATGGTGATCAACTTTAGCTGGGTTTGGTTCAGGTACATAATCTGATTGCAATTCTGGCCTCACCGGAGCCCATAGGAATTTTTGCCACTGATTTCAATTAAACCCATTTTTTATTCTCTGTTTTTGAGGGCGTCTCCACAAGCGGGATCATGTTTTTTCTCAGGGACAAGTAGCAGCGGCACATATTTGTGCCGCTGCTAGTTGTCCCTGGGCATGCCTCTGCATGCACACTGGTTCATGGCAAATTGCCCCAGGTGGGGTAGGGAAGGCTGGGGCCAGCACCTGGACTGGCCCCAGCAGCCTTACTCGGAGCTCAGGGGCCTCCTGGGGCTGCAACAGTGGTGATTTTGGGTGTGCAGAGCCTACTGCTAGTGGGCTTGCGGAGCCTAGTGCTGCTCGTGCACAGATCGCCCAGTGTAAAAAAAAACCAAACACTGCCGCACTGCTAAGAGATGTGGTCGTGGAGATGTGCCCTTTTTGTCCAGCTTTTTTAGCAGATGCACTAAACTCCTCGACAGCTGGTGAATAAGTCTTACCAGATTTTTTTTCCCAGGTCATAATTTCACAAATTTGAACTATTACGGTTTTCCAATGAAAGAGACCAGTGCTTTGGGAACGGTAAGACCGTCTGTTCTTTCATGTGAATGATCACCTAAGATATGCTGGGAAACGAGAACAGGAGTAGAAATAGGGTCCAGCAGCTACTAACTCAGGATTTAGGACTCCTTCAACACATTGACTGCCTGATGGAGGATCCCTAAAGACCAGTTAAAGGCTTGCCATAATGGTTGGTTTAAAAATGTTCACCTTTACCTTGTGTTGGCTGATCTGACCTCCGTTTTCAATGTAACAGCCATAAGATTTACGACAAGTAGGGTTAAGGAAGCCACCTAAGAACAGTGCGTGACAAACTGATATCATCATGTCTATCTGTGATAACCACAAAGCAAGTTGCCTAGCTGGTTTATTGTTTTAAGCAGCTAGGAGCCATGCACACAACCTGTTTGCAATTGTGTAAGTTAAAACAGCGTACAAAAGCTGAGGTAAGTTACTCCAAAACCTGAAGTGGACAGTCTACTGGTTATCCTAGAGTAGCCATGGCAGTAGGTGATATTATAGTACTTTGCCACTAGGGCTACATACAGACATTCAAAAAGCCTGAGGCAAAATTGATCTAAGTTACGTGGTTTTCTGTAAGTGGCGTCGTTTAGATCGATTGTGAACAAAACACACATTTGCCATTTGGTGGCGAGGGGCGGCAAATCTTAGACCTGGTTCTGCCAATTTTAAACCAGTCTATGTGTGACGCACTTCTCTTCTGCTATGGGTACAGACCGGTTTTGTGTGCTGAACTTCTGTACAGACTGGCTGCCAATCAATTATACCAGTGAAAGTGTAATGTCTGCACCTGGCCAAGGTGGCAGGGGAACTGGTAATGCTTATTTGTATTGAGCAAATGGCTATTTTAGGGGAAATCCATACTGGATTCTAGTTAGTTGCACTAGTGTAGGGCTGTGCATTGTGTTCACTCTTTATGTATGTGCCCAGGCCCTAAGCAAAGAGCTGGGGTCCTTTAGTTCATTCAAATATACTCTTCTCCCTACTTCACCTGAATAGAAATGTTAATACGGCCTTAATTTTGCTCTACAATCTTCAGTGTTTGTCACCACGGTGTATACTTTACCTTACAGTTTTTAGTGCCTCCGTTTACTGGAATCTGAAGTATTCTGTTGGCAACAGAAACCTCACAAATCAGTTTTACACTTTCAAATCTGGCATCCAGTTTGGTGTTCTCCGTCTATTATAGTCACAAATGATAGAAAGCAGGCACCAACATATTTTATGAGCACAATGTTTGCACTGCATGCGTGCTCAGGTAGATGTCAGGATCCTTATCGCTTATGCCCAGAATTGATTTTTGGCAGAAAATGAAAAGGTTCCCAACCTCTAATAAGTTGACTTTGCTGGGGTTTTTAAATGCTCCTGCTTTTACACATGGCCAGTTTTAGTAAATGTCTTTCCTTTTATTGCAGGGTATGACTGTTAGTAAAATATTAGCTGAGGAGCTGGTGAAATCTCATTTTGCATGGCTTCCTCCTGTGTTCCTTGTGGTAATTTAACTAGATTTGAGGTTAGCCTGACCTCAAAGGAAAGGAATAATCGGTTTAAATGAGGATGACTTAGAATGAATTCACATCTACATGAAAGAAGAATGTGTAATTGGCTGGACTCATTTTAAAAGAACATTTTCCCCCCTCTCCCCCCGCCTCCCTTGAGGCTAACGTGATTCTGGTCATCGCAGTAAGGAACTGAGTAGATGACTTGAGCAGTTTATATTAAATCTGTTTTGAATCAGTATATTTTCCTTCAAACGATTGAATTGTCCCTTTAATAACATAATACATAGGAATATCATAATTGAATGGACTGAATGTACCAGCAAGAGTAATTATACACATTAGGAGAGGGCTGACCTCGATGGCTTTATAGGAAGGTAGCTACCCTGTCAACTTCTGCTCGCCGACCCGCTCCTTTCCACTATGGAAAGACTGGCCTGTGGAGACGGAAGTCTTTGAGTGAAGGAAGTTGACGATTTTCTACCAAAATGTTTTTTGACCAAAGGAGAGTCCCCTTTTCTTCCTAAAGGAAACCTGTACAAACTGTTCTCCCCCCTCCAAAACCTCCAGTATTTTGGTTTAATATTTATTCTTTGGTTTTCAGAACCGTAATACTTTGTAACAAGTTAGCTTCTTCAAGCTTCCATACACATGAACATTTGCATTTCTTTAGATATTTTTTCTACACAATACACGTGCCCTTTCCCTCTTGCACATGCAATACTCCGTTTTGTTCAACGGATCCATTCCTATGGCCAGGTCAAACTGAAAGACTGCCTTCTGGGGCCGGCAGCCTGGTTCACGTAGTCAATCTTTTGTCTTTCAGACTTCTGGTGTATTGGGGGAACGGTTTCCAATTGAGCTAAGTTTGGTTTGGCCTAAAAGCGTTGGCGTACCTCCCATCTCCCCATCAATTATCTCTTTGTTTGTCTTCATACAACTGGAACTGAAACTGTGTAACTTGTGGTAGCTATTATTAGGGGCCTACCTAAATTGTGGTTTGATGAATTTCATGGAAACTGCCCAAAATAGCATTGTGCTCAATCACTGGAAAATTCAGCGCTGTCTGCGATTTCCTGCAAAATCAACCAAAAAAAAAGTGGTAGGTAGGCTGAGTGAAGGCGCCTTCTGCCAATCAGCAGCAAGGGGCACAGCTGCTGGGTCCCTCCACCAATCAGCAGAGGGGCAGGACCACTGTGAAACGCCCATGAAATCGGCTCTACCTGCTGCAAACGGACTATGCAAAACCCGTTGTCTCGCCATGACTTAGGTATGTCCCTAGGTATTATGTATGAGAGGGATTTCAAATCTCTCTTCTGATTTTAAGCCGTTCTGCTTTTCCCAGCAACAGCTGCAGAACAAAACTCCATGACTTAATTCTTTACATCATGTAATGTGTTACCTGCATGACTCGTGTTTCTGAACCCCAGAAATGCAATACAATTGAGCTTCTTTTTGCATTTAAAAAGTAACTCCCGAGCAGATGTTACTGACTTCAGTATTTTTCAGTTATTGCTAACTTTGCTAAGTGTGGTGTGTGTGTTTTTGGAAAACACCATATGATTTCTTTGACTACTTGTGCTTCGCTGCACTGAGATCAGCATAATAAAGCCTCAGTAGCCTGGGAAGAGCTTGAGTCCAACTTTATCATGTTTATATTACTCCTGCAGGAGGTGTCCCAATGCCAAGGCTCGCTGCATACGGTGCATCCAAAGCAGCTCTGTCCATGTTTTCTGGAGTTATGAGGCAGGAGCTTTCCAAATGGGGAATTAAAGTGGCGGTAGTTCATCCATCAGGCTTCAGGACATGTAGGTATTTGACATTTCAGCTAGTCCTTCTCCCTCCCCAAGACTTTTCCCTATAGACCAATCTTCTCAAGCAGGAGTTCGAATGATTCTCAGCTGTCATGGTTCCTTCCCATCCTTCACTTTTATTACTCAAATTAAGTCTTAGATTGCAAAAGTGAACAAGAAACGGTAAACGCCCCCTCCATTGGTAGTGCCTGACTCTTTTTTGCTTCTAGAGCAGTGGTTTCCAGCCTGTGCTCTGCGTACCCCTGTGGGCGACGGACTATGCCTGAGGGGTTAAAAGTCTGTGAATACCCACACTTACAATTCAAAGGGGGCTGCACCTTCATTTGACATTTTTTAGGGATCTGGCAATGGAAAAAGGTTGAGAACCATTGGTCTAGATGGAGAGTATTTAAGCAAAGATCCTTATTGAGGAATGAGTGAAAGCCTTGGTTTACCTTTCACAGTATTGGGCACCGTTTCTCTTTGAAATCAGTCAGCCAGTCGTTCTGATTGATTCTGATGGTTCTTCTCTCTTGTTTCAACTGCCTTGCCAAAAGTGAAAACCAGACTTCATTATCAGCTTGACTTTAGTAGAGCCTTATGGTTTCCTGACTTGAGAACATTAAAACTTACCCCGCACAATATCCGCTCCACCCTGTCAAACTGCTTTCCAGGGGCCCTGGTGCTGTGCCATCCGGCATTGTCCTCAGGTGGTACTCATTTTTATTAAGCAACTGAAGCTTTGTGTCTCCCAATACCCCTTTCAACTCTGAATTCTTTTCCTCATAAAGAATAAATACTATTTTCTACAGAAGTTTCCATTGCTAATTGATAACCAGTCTGGCTAGAAATCTTTAACATTTAAACACTGTAGAGAATTGGCTCTCCAGAGCACAGTGGAAAGACATCCTGAGGAGGCTTGTATTCCCATTCCCTAGATATTCCAATTCTGGCAGTGAGTTGAAAGCATTCATCCCCAGCACCTTCTCATAGCACAATTGTGTCTACAGTCTTTAAAAAAAAAAAAAAAAAAAGCTTTCTATACAAACCTGACTTAGCCAGCTCCATGTAAAACAACTTATTGGAAATGTTCTTAAAAGACTTCATTCCAAAATATCTACCATACTTCACTGTCTTTGTCTATGGTTTGTTAGGAAAGTATAGTTTAAAACAGAATGAACTCCTTCCTCCCTCAACCTGTCCTGTGCAGTAGGACACTCTTACTTCATGGTATCATGTTGTCTTGGGAGTGTAACTTCTGCTGTCATGATAAAGATTCTGGGTAAAGTCTTCAAGACCTCTAAGGAGCTGAGATCCCACACCTGGGGGACCAAATGTCGACATTTGAACGGTATTTGGGCACTTAAAAATGCAAACGGTGCCCAACTCCCAGTAATTTTGTTTTATGCCTGTCCACACTGAGAATCCCAGTCGTTGCCTATCTGCACCTTTAGGTACCTAACTACAATTAGTTGTCTTCCATGACAGGCAAGGGGAATTAGGCTTCTGAGTGTTTACATCATTTCTGAGAGCAGAGTTTAGCACTTCTCTAATGGACAACGATTGTGTTAGTAAACAGGTTTCCCAATTTGGTCCTTTGGTCCTGGTTTTAAACAAAAAGGTGTCCACTTCACCACCCCGTTACCTTAGTCAATTTTGTTAGGCATCGTAACATCCTTGTTAATCTCAGTGGAAAGGACAAGGGCAGACTAGGCCATGGAGAATGAACTAATCTCTGCACATAGAGGCAGTCTCTTCAGGTCATGGCTGATATCAGAAATGTTTATATAACCTTGAGGCTTGCACATATTTGAGTCTGTTGGGGTTTTTTTTCCCCTCCTCCAAGAATGTGTATAGTGTATCTTGTCTCCTCTTAAGATAGGCATGACAAACCTAGCTGTAATGTAGCCAGATGTTTTTTGTGCGGTTTAATCATTTCAATCATCATCAGCTTTTTTTTTTTTTTTTGAGATGCACTTAGGTACGTAGAACAACTGTGTAAAATGGAGAGCGGGGGAGGGGGAAGACACTGTATTCACCGATTGGACTGGATTATCAAAGTAATGTACAATGCTGCGTTACTCACCTCCCAGGTTGTTGTTCCAGGCATACAAGGCACACCCGAGCTGTGGGATAAGCAAGAAAAGCACCTGATGGAGAATCTCATGCCAGACGTGAAGACAGATTATGGTGAAGACTACATTCTAGCACTGAAAAATTTCCTGCTGCACATGCCTAGCTCTTGCGGCTCCGATCTCTCCCCACTACTAGATGATGTTCTCGATGCGTTATTGGCAAAGAGTCCACACGGTTTATATACTCCGGGCAAAAACGCCTACTTAGCTCTGTGTATCTTTTGCTACTTTCCTCTCTGGTTTTATGACTTTTTCATCGGTAAATCGCTGTGTGTCAAGATTTTACCCAGAGCTCTGAGGGGACCGGAGTCTAAAAGCAAGAACACGTAGGCACTTGGAAACACGGTCGGTATTTTAAATTCTACTGAGAGTTAATGAAGTGCTGTGTTAGGAAGTTACTTAACATGGCCCTTTGCTTATTAAATTACATTTATGCTGCTGAATGAATGGGAGTGAAGTGTAGTTTTGAAGATTTAAATTTATTTTAATATTCATGAAAAGCAGTGGACGGACAGCACTAGGAAATAAATGCCTCCAAACAGGCACTGCCTTGACACTAGCAATGCAAGCTTCACCCACATTGCCTGCCTTTTCCAAGTTTCTCTCTGGTGAAACAAGGGGCGACTTCAGTCTCCATGTGCATTCAGTCTATCACCCTTTGGCTGGGGCTAGGTACAGACGTTCAAAAAGCCCACAGCAGAATTAATCTAAGCTGCGCGGTTTTCTGTAAGCTGCATAGTTTAGATAGGTAGTGAACAGAACACACTTTTGCCGTCTGGTGGGGGTGCAAATCTTAGGCTGGGTTTTGCCATTTTTAACCAATCTATGTGCACCAAACTTCTGTTCTGCGGTGGGTATAGACCGGTGTCTGATCACTTAGTGGTAAAAGTGTCATGTCTACCTGGCTTGAGTGTCCTTCATCCTACCAGCAAAAGCAGAACATTGCAAAGTGGATTAAGGATCCACAAAATATTCCAAAGTACTATTGGTATGTCGCGATCCATCCTGACATTCCCAGACGGGAATAAAACCCCACCTCATACATTAGCAGTCTCTCAGTGCAGCTTCTGAAACGGTGAAGCCCATAGAGATGGACCACTTACTTGGTACTGCCCTGTGCTCTGACACAGCTGAGTGGAGAGAGGCTCCGATTTTCGAAGGAACCCATGCGATGGGCATGTTTATCATGAGAGCCAAACATTTCAGTCTGTCTAACCCAATGGCTGGTTTTGGGTGAACAAAGCTTAGAATTGGAGCATGCATAAAAGCGGGTGTAAATCTATATCATAGAATCACAGAAGTCGGGTCGGAAGGGACCTTGTAGATCTTCAAGTCCGACCCCCTGCCTGGGCAGGAGGGAAACTGGGCTCAAATGACCCCAGCCAGGTAGGCATCGAGCTGCTTCTTAAAGACCCCCAGGGTAGGAGCCAGCACCACTTCCCTTGGAAGTCGGTTCCAGATCCTAGCCGCCCTGACTGTGAAGTAGTTCCTATGGATGTCTAATCTAAACGTACTCTCCAACAACTTGTGGTCATTATTCCTTGTTATCCCCGGGGGGCACTAGGGGAAACAAGGTCTCCCCCAAACCCTTCTGGTCCCTCCTAGTGAGTTTATAGACAATCACCAGCTCCCCCCTCAGCCTTCTCTGGTGAAGGCTGAACAGGTTCAGGCCCGTAGCCTCTCATTGTAGGGTCTGCCCTGCTGTCCCCGGATCATGCGGGTGGCCTCCTCTGGACCCTCTCCATGTTGTCCACATCCCTCTTGAAGCGGGGTGCCCAGAACTGGACACAGTACTCCAGCTGTGGCCTGACCAGTGTACCGTCGAGGGGGAGGATAACCACCTTGGCCCTACTTGAGATGCACCTGTGGATGCACGATAGGGTCTGGTTAGCCCAGCCGACCGTGACCTTGCATTGTCGGCCCATGTTCATCTTGGAGTCAATGATGACTCCAAGATCCCTTTCTGCCTCCGTGCTCTCAAGAAGGGAGTTTCCCATCTTATAAGTGTGCTGCCGGTTACTACTGCCCAAGTGCAGCACCCTGCACTTGTCCGTATTGAAACGCATCCTGTTTTTGTTAGCCCACCCTTGCAACCTATCCAGGTCTTTCTGCAGTCTTTCCCTCCCTACTAGCGTGCCCACCTCACCCCAAATTTTGGTATCATCAGCAAATTTGAACAGGTTGCTTTTCACCCCGTCATCCAAATCACTGATATAGTGGGATGATATCCGGTTCTGTATGGGTGCTTCTCTAGAAGTTACAAGATGATAAGACCTGTGCTCCTAAATGATTTGATTGCCCAAGTTGAATAATAGCACTAGAACTGGTAGTGCTCAGATTAAAAAAACCCCAACAATTATGTGACAGTATTTACTGCCTGAGCCTGCTAAAAACACCCGTGCTGCCTTTCAGTTTTGCTATGCTATTTGCCTGTAAGCAAGCGTGTATTTTTTTCTCCACTTTGAATTCCTAGGTAGAGGTAGGCTTTATTTTTTTGCATAGCATGGCTGGTGGATTAGGTGCTTTCCAGACATTCCACATGTTTTTTCCTTGAAGCATTTAAGGTCTAAGTAGGCGCCCTATTTTTTTTTTTTCTCTTTTAATAACAATGTGTTTAGGAAGTTTTAACAGATGTATGCTTTGATGCACCACCCAAGATGAGGCAATAATCATAATAACACTCATTTTATTTGAGTCTTGGAGATGCATCATGCAGCTATATAATCAACTCTTTCCATTTAGCAGGTTGTTGAAGTGGAGATGTTCTTCTCACTTCTCACTTTGATGCTTGCTGTGAATCTGATTTTTTTTTTAACATTCATATGGGAACATAGAGAACTTTTAAAAGCTGGGGAGAGATACGAGCCAGCTGTTCACCAAATAAATGTATTTAGCTATAAAAATGGATTTTTAAGTTTGTGATGACAACAGTCCCTTCCAATTGGGTATTATGTGTTTTAGCTTCCTAGAAAAGCTGATTTATGTACTAAATCAGCTAATTTTAATAAAGCCTGTGGCTTTAATCAGCTAGGAAACACAAATGTCTCTCTCATTGACATCCATTCTTGAGCACAACTTTTCTAATGTTTGCAAATGACGTGGCGAGAAAAGGATTTGCCTCGACAAACTGCCTGGAAGGAAGGAGCTTGGAGCTGCAGGGATGGAAGAAAGGATCGGCAACTTCAGGCTACAGCATGGTCAAAGAGAATTTTTTAAAGCTACTATTTCTATAAAATCTCACACCAGTCAGGTTAAAATATGTGTATGGTGTGAATGGGGTTAAATGCTGGGTAAAGAGGAGAGCTTCTGACTGTCATGGGTATGTCCAGTCATTAGAAAACATACAGAATGTGGTATTACAAAGAGTTGTATCTTTATTACTAAATGATCTCTTGGGAGCCGCCTGAGCCTTCTTCTTTCTTTCCATTCTGATGAGTAGACTTCCACTCTCACTGAATATGAATGGTTGGACTTAAGATATGTACAATTACTGAATAAATTGAATGAATGAAAAAGGAATAATAAAGTCACTTGTCTTTCCAAGGCTCGCTTTTCCTTGGTTAACTCTTCCATCTTTACAGACAACTTGACTGATGGCAACCATGGGGCATTTTTCACTCTAGATGGTTATTCAAAGTGCTTTCCAGACTTCATAGTACACTTGCAGCTCTCCATGCACTTAATGGTCCTGTTCTTGCTTTATTGAAGTTCATGGGAGACTAACCAAAGTTTTAGTGAAAGTAGGAGTGGTTCTTCCATGAATCACGTCATCCATGATTAGAAGAGTCACCATTTTTTTCCGTTCTGTCAATTTGGTCTCAGAGGGGCTTTTATTTAGTGGACTTGGCCCAGCAGAGTAAGTCAACCTGGTTAGGATTATATAGCTAGGTCCTCTATATAGGAAATAATGGGTGTGTCTAAATGTGCCAATATAAGGCTCATTAGCCATTTTTAAGGTGCATTAAGGGTGCGGGTCTACATGTGAGCACCCTTGATGCATTTTAAAAATGGCTTTTAGGCTATTTGTGCCTAAATTTGATACCTGCAGAAGCGGGTATCAAATTTGGCCACAAATAGCTGAAGCACCTGCCTTAACACACATGCAGATGTATTAAGGCACACTAACACTGTGTATGTTGATTGACTTAGGACTAAACTTTAGTCCGAAGTCATCCTGCACACCATGCAGGATGTTTATACATGCCCTTTAGCACATGCATGTATAAACACGTGCCTAAATCACCTTAATGCACATTAGGCAAATGCACATTAAGTTTAGGCACGCATAAAAGTGTGTGTAGACATGCCCAGTGAAAGGGAGGTGCTCTGAGGGGTAGCTGAGAAAGCCCAGTGGCAGTCGTTAGGAAATATGAAACACAGGACTGTGTCTGAATTTTTCACTCCTCTTCCACCTGTCTCAGGCCATACAGTAGGCAACTCTAGTATAGTCACAGTCCACAATGCCTAGTCTTGCTTCTGATGTAGGCATTGGTGGTGGTGATGGTGTTGCCCATCAGCTGAGTAGTTAGGACGCTCATCCAGGCAGTGGGAGACCTGGGGGGATCTGAATCTACATCACTGACTTCCTAGGAGAGGCCCTAACCACTAGGCTATGGAATAGGCCTTCCAGTTGCAGCACAACCAGGCAAGAATCAGAAGGGAAGGAACAAAAGCAAAAGAGAGCTTAGTGAATACTGCACTACCTGGGAAAGAGGAGTCTTGGGTTCAGGTACTTACTTCGTGTGTGTGTGTGTGTGTGTGTGTGTGTGTGTGTGTGTGTGTGTGTGTGTGTGTGTGTGTGTGTGTGTGTTGTGTGCAAAATTGCATAGAGAGAGTTGGGAACAAGCACATCTTCCTAGCCTGGCAGGTAGGGTACTTGGCTGCAAGAGGGGGAAAGTAGAGATCTTATCCCTGCTGCTTGGATTCTTAGTGCATTTTATATTAAAATCTGTATATAATCTGCTTGTATAAAATGCGTGTATGTAAAAGATATATGTCCTGTTAATATCCAAATCCAGACATCTAAACACCCGCTGTCCACAAAGATTAGGTGAGCATTACAGCAGCCCTGTGTCAGAGGGGGGTGGTTAAATATTGCAGAGAACAAGAAAAGACCGTACTGATTTCAAGCCCTGCCAGGTTTAAGAGGTGTTGGAATGACAAGTAAGGTCAACAAGCCCTTTTTCCTGAGTATTTGAGCCCTCGGGCAATGTCTTTACACCTGCACATTTCCCACAGCTTTGAGACAAATTCTGTTTCAACAGCTATTAGTTTAAGGGCTGGTTTTGGGAGAGTTGTACAAGTAAACAGTTAAGTACACAAAAGGTACCTGGCCATGGTGCTACAAGGTGTGAAGAGGAAGCAAACTAAATGTTTGCGATCCATTGTGACATGGCAGTACTTGGCAATGGGGTTAGTAAAGGAACGTAAGGCAGATCTCACCTTTACACAGAACGTGGTACTGCATCATTACCCGGCGAAGTGTTGACCTGCTGATGTGAAAAGGAGTTTTGGAGACAAAAAACAGAGCATCAAATCAAGCATGGAGCAGAAAGCAGAGCAGCAGCTTGGTCAGGGAGCACGGAGTAAAGTCAGAGCCTCAGATCAGGCAACAGAAAGGGATCAGAGGGGCACTCTGGGATTTGTGGCACGTCTGCCAAAAAGGTTGCCCCTGCCCACTGATCTATTAAATAATTTTTCTCAGCTATATACAGCAAAGACAGCTTAATAAGCCAAATAGTTTGTATGGACAAGATGCCTTGGAATAAGCAATGGGAGTCTGTCTAGTTTTGAGACAAAGGTGCGTCCTTCCCCTGGGCCTGGTGACATTTTGCCCAGGGCTGGTGGACTAGTTCGAGCTATATTTCAGCTGGTGATAGAGGCTAACTGCAGGCCCCAAATGACACAAAGCATTCAAGTGGAAGATGACCTCTCTCATGAGAGCACGAAGAAATCCAGTGATTAACAGAATAGCTGCTGTTGCACTGAGAAAGTAGGCTGAAGGAATAAGAGATTCAAGATAATCAGCCATGCAGCCATCAGGAAGTAAATTGACAGATCAGAGCATAAGTAGGCTCAAGTTCAACCATTCCTGCAGAAACGTGTCGTCACCTGATCTCTGCTGCCTGGGCTGTTGACACTACACTGCAGGTATTTCAATAACCACATTTCATTTTTTTTAATGAAATCTTCATATTTTCCCAAGCAGGAAGCAACTGTGACCACCTGAAACCTGAGATCCTGCTCCTGCCTTTGTTTCTCGGTAATCTGCACCATCACAGATCCTCGCAGGAGGTGAGGGGCTCCAGACCAGCTATGAACTGCCTGCCCAGGGGAGTTTTCCATCTATTGACTCCTCTGCGAAATC